GATCCGGATACAAAAGATTCACACACACATAAAAGCTCCTGTTTCTCTTTAGCCGTAAACTCTCTAGGGTTCATCAAAAAAATTCCTCACACCCTAATACCTATATTTATACTAGGGGAACATGGGCCGGATAACACATGGGCCGTAAATGAGTTTACGACCGTAAGGTGTTTACAACCGTAAACTAGACCACAAATTCATAAATATTACAGAAAAATACAATTGCCCAAAAAAGTAAAGTATAAACCATATTTTGACCCAACAATCTCCCCCTTGGTTTATAGCTTTCTTTTCTTAATGACCCAACAAGCTCCCCCTAAAAGTAGCTGGCTCTTCTTGTCAATCTTCAATGGGAGCTTGGCTTCAGCTTTAACCTTCGATTTCTTCACAGCATCAGGATGAACATATGAAACTTTAATGAATGACTTCATCTTGAGCACTTGAGGTTTTCTTCATAATTTGGCATTGAACGCACATTGGGTGAGGAGGCTTGACGTACTGATTATTGAAAGATGGCGCTTTCAGCTTGAGAATCTTCAGAGAGAACAAATCTTCTGGATCACTTCAGCAAGTACAACGACAGCAGCAAACTCATTGAGGAGGCTTCAATGCAATCCATTACATAATCTTCAATTGTAGCTTCACCTTGCTTCTGGGGTTGAAGGATTGAATATTGAAAGAATAATCTTCATTTCTTGCTCCTTCGAATGCGAATTCTTCGATCCTCACGGACGAGGCTTTGGCTCAGAAATCTTCAACACAAACTCCATGAGTCTTATCTATACATGAAATCACTTTTCAAGACAAAACAAAACTAAAAGAAAACTTAGCACACAAATTAAAACATAAACATAAATATTTTTTGGATTTTTTGATTTTTCTGAACAAGAAATAAAACAGAAATAACACTATTTTTGGATTTTTAATTTTTCTGATTTTTCTTTGATTTTTAAATTTTTATGAGTTTTTTTCATTATTTTTAAATTTTAACCCCCCCCCCCCCCCTTAATATTTAAATTAGAAGAAACTATGACAAATTGAACAAAAATAAAAATTGATATCTAACTTTAAGAGTGATTTGGGTTCAAAGTTTTTAGACAAGCTTTATCCGCTTGTCGGTACCCTTATCTTCACATCTTCGTCTGATGGATCGCCGATATTGTTGTCCACTTAAACACGAAAAATTGTGACAATTTTGGACAATTTACCAATGACATGATACATGCATATATCTAATTGTAACTTTATTATCATGATTGGCCCTAATTCTTAAATAAATTTTTCTTAAGACCATTTAACTGACTACAACCAGGGATATTGTTGTCCACCTGAATCGAGCAACGAGATCTACAGACAATCTGTATGTGTTCAATTTTAAGTGTACTAGAACGTGTTTCCCGCTTCCTGATATGCCCCAGCCATCAAGAACTTCCAGAGTACTCCTTACACCGGGTGAGCAGACAACCATTCAGAGACAGGATAGATTCAGAATTCTATAACTTATTACTTCAGAGGGGTTGAGAAGTAGAAGGTTGCATATGTTGTGTACCAGGTCGGATTAGAAGTGACGCAAAGGAGACAGCATATGGCTAACAGATGAGAGGTATTTCACATATATAACATGCAGAGAAATAGAGTTGCATATGTTGTAATCCAGGTCGGATCTCTTCCAATCACGCAAAGGGTGCAGCATATGACTAACAGTAGGAAAGAAAGAAAATAATATTCTACAGACCTAATTTATCGGAATTTACCAGTCGCCCCTTCCAGCCAGAATTAAGGACAGAATCCGCACATCGAGGAAAAGTTACACCACGGTTCCAAGTACGGGTTCAATTAATGTGACGAGTAGATTCTCATATATATCTCCCTGCTCAACCTATCCGAGCATCATATTGTCAGGCTGAACGGATCTGACTAGGTCAAAGTTTGTCAAGTCTATAAATTTCCTAAGTTCAAATTTACCTAGTCAAGTCCATTTAGAATCTTTCGTGCCTACCGACGCATCAACTTCGAGTACGTTACGCAGAATCAGGTTGCCTGTTATCACTTGATAATATCACTTCCCAAAACATCTCCCTCAAGCACATTTCATGACCAACATAATTTTTTATTTTATTTTATTTTATTTATTTATTTATTTATTTATTTTTTGATTTTCTAATGTTTTTGGATTTTTGATATTTCTCCCCCTAAATTTGTGCATAGGAGAGAAACGAAAGTAAATGCGCAAATTTAAATTATCCTAAAACAAAAATTAGTCTTTAAAGCAAATCAGCTTAAGAAAAACTCTATACTATAGAGAAGAAAACGCAAACCGTAAGTCACCGATTGAATTTGCATCCAGAAGGTCTGAGAACAACACGCGTAATCTCATAACAGATCCGAAAATTCTTCATGTCATTAAGCACTGACCCCATGAGTGATCCTTCCTTTCTTCCCTTCCTGCAAAGGACACATACTCTCAAACAAAATTCTGAGTGTTGTATAGTTGAGAGATGCCTCCTATCATGTGCTTGGAACAGCCACTACCAACAAACCGTAGTATGATGATATCCTCCATGGATGCTCCGACACATACCATAATCAGTTGTTCTTTGGAACCCAGTCCATTTTGAAACTGGGTCGACCTTTATCATCAACGCACGATACTCTCTCCCATGACATGTCCTATTTATCACAAACAGAAGACAGAAATATTAGAATCGTTAGTTGATTTGGGAGATTGAGCCTTCGGAACCCATTTGTAGTTGGGTTTAACCCATTTCTTTTTCGATCTGATGGGTGGCTCAGTACTTGCTTTGGAACTTGATGTCGGCCGTTGAGATGACTTTGATTTTGGCGTCGCGGAAGCATCTCTTGGATTGGACTTCTTGGCCGACCTTTCCTTCTTGCCCTTGGGATTTTGATTCTTGTCCTTTGAGGTTTGATTCTTGGCCTTGGGAGTTGAATTCTTGGTCTTCATGGCATTCCAGTCGGCATTGTCTGAACGTGACCTTGAGGGGTTTCTTTTGAAGTGTCTCCTTCTTCGCGCGTTCTGCCAACCTTGTGCATAGTAAGGAACATATGCGCGATTTGGACAATTTCGGGCAATGTGACCAGGTGTTCCACAGTGAAAACAAGTCTTTTTCTTCACTGGGAAATTGTTTCTTCCTACCCCTGGTGGCGTATCCTTGCCTTGTCTCTTGTTTTTCCCACATGCACACTTGCCACAAAACAGAAAAATACAATTGCTCAGAAAAGTAAAGTATAAACCATATTTTGACCCAACATTTGACGGTAGCTCGATGGTCGACTGAGGTTAAAGAATTAATTGGTCTTGATGGAGATTAATCGTGAGTTTCGAAAAACAAGTATTTCAAAATTAAAAAATAAGAAAATTTGTAATTTGAAATTTTGAAATACATAAATATGAACATTTGGTATAATATTTGAAATTTTGAAAATTTTGGAGTAAGAAAAAATGTGATATTTTGAGTTATTATTATTATTATTATTATTATTATTATTATTATTATTATTATTATTTTACGTTTGTTGACCGATTAATCCCGTCAAACCAGATTAATCCCTAATTTCCGTCTAGCATCCATAATGTCGGTTGGAAAACGCTAAACGATTAATTTATGATTAATTACGGTTTCTACAACATTGCTATAATTTGGTAGTCACTATCTTGAACTTAGGTAGTGTTGTGTATTGTGATTAACTATTATTTCATTCGAAGGTTCGAAGTGTGCATGCAAAACAAAATTTAATATGTTATTTGAATCAACGATTATAATTTTATATAAATAAAAAAAAACATAAATCTATTAATTAATAATTTATTGAAAATAGTTGATTAATAATTATGAATTTTTACTTTAAAAAATATATTATTTTTGTAACATTGGTTTCCACGGGCTATAACCTAGTATTAGTAATAATTAAGATTTTTTATATAGATCTATTTTTAGTAGGTGTTTTTTATGTGTGTGTTTACATCGGACCTATGATAGATCAGGATCGGCCCTCATATGGTTTATTACAATATCGTTAAGTCATTTTTATTAATATTTATGTATTCATTATATATTTTCATGTCATCCATCAACATGTAACAAACTATTTGATTACTTGATTTTTGGTTTTGTTAACAGATTATAAAACGATAACAAGTAATATAACTTTTAAATAAAAAAGAAAATTATAAACAAATATTAATATGACAAGCAATATATAAAATATAATATTAGTGACAATATGAAAAATACAAAGAGGTTTAAAATGAAAATACAAATAAAACCAAAAACTTAATAATAATATATTTGACCAAATTTTGTATCAAAAAAAACCAAAATATTGACAATATCCTAACATCTAAAGTAGATTTTTGCATATTTTTAACTCCTATTTTCCTCAATCTTATTATTAGAACCTAACTGTCTACTATTGTAAGCATCTATATATAGATATATATAGATGCTTGAAAGTCCTCAGGGATGAGACCATACAATTGATGATATGATCTAATTAAGTAATTCCACTTGCCTAATATTAATTTTCAAGCCATGAAAAACAAAGACAGCCAGACAAGTTGATTAAGATGAGCCATGGCATATTAAACAAATCAAAGATATGACATTATGACTTACACATAAGGATTTCGAGTGATGAAAAATAGAAACAAAATGGGTTTAGTTGTCAAGGAATGACCTTCCCTTCGCTCAAATCACTATTCACTATTCCTTATTCATCACCAATGCACCAGATCCCATCATCTTAGAAGAACGATGCATGCAGATAAACACATTTGGACGAAACTATTACTAGAGAGTTTTGGTGTTGCGCCCTTTAAATATCCATTCATTGACCCAAGTACCCAACCAATGTAATGAAACATCAAACATGTTTGGGAGCTTGTATCATTTAAGCAAATTATCAAGTCTTCTTTAAGATAATCCAAAGATCCTAACTTAAAATATTAATCTTTTGACACGTCCATCCCTAGCAATAACATCTTCACCATGTCCGAACCCCAAATGCTACATCACCATCTTGGCATAAAAATTAAGGAGAAAAAAAAGGACAATACTCAAAAAAAAAAAAATCGAAACATCATTTTACCAAAAGTCAATTGAGCAATGTCAAAAAATATATGCAACCGACTAACAATTATAACTTCTGTCAAACTCCTGTATCGATCATATTGCCAGACAGCCAACAAAGCTCAAATCCCACCATTGTTAGTGTTAATTCACTCTGCTAGTTCCAGATTTACGCCTCTTTACCCCCAACTCTTTCACTTTGGTCCCTACTGCTGCACAACATAACCATTGTTGATTCTTTTTCCACCAAAATTTAAAGTTTAAAATAACAAACCATATACATATATAGCATACACCATTGCATTTGCATTATGCACAAACCTTCTCTTCTCACATCACGACAGTATGAGCTGCCACATTGACATTTAAATGCCTTTATTGGATGCCCATCATCCTCAAAGTCAATCTGATAATCCTGGAATCATTTCAAATGCTTCACTTCTCTTTTAACTAAACCTTCATATACATATACATATACAGATGCATTATATGATGTGAAGAATGCATACCCATGTCAGCTCTTCATATGCATTAACATTTCTTTTAGTGAAAAAAGCAATCTGTATAAAACGAAAGTCCAAGTCAGATGTTTAAATATACTTACTGTTACAAACACTAAATACAGAAAGTTGATACATATTACATACATGATAGTAGTGATGATCAGGTGTTTCCACTTCAACAGGGATCTCGATCAAATTTGAATCAAAGCATCTAGATTTATATAAAAAAAAGAAAACAGAGGAGCTATAAAGATTCCACTAAAAGCACATGACTTTATAGAGATGAATACACATGTAAGTTAATTACCTGTGATTAATAAACCTTGCAACATTTCCATAATTGGTTGCATCCAAACAGAGAGCTTCTTCATCCTTTAGTATTTGTTCAGAACCCCAATCTGAATCAAGGGATACTGGATATGTATGCCTCTCATTAATCCTAGTTTTCTTGTTTCGTTCATATAACTCCATATTTGTTAATATTTCTCCAACATATTCACATACAAATGAACCTTTTGGCAAGTTTTCAAGTGTGCGAAGACCCCATCCTTTATCCTCCATTGCAAACACCTGATATGTAGTTTATATTCCAATATAATAAGTATATGTTTATCATACAAGAAAGTTAAGAGGAAAAGTACAACCAATTATTCTTTTTAATTTATATTATGTAAACAACATAGAAATACTTAATAACAATAACATAAATAGTATGTTACTAAATCATGATATAACTCCTATATATATATATATATATATATATATATATATATATATATATATATATATATATATATATATATATATATATATATATATAAATAAGAAGCAATTAGGAATGGTATAACAGATTCACATACCTGCAACTTGCAAGTAATACCTCTTTGGACAACACGGTTTCCACATTCCATACTACAACCACATTTTCTCCAACATTCTTTTATAAACTTCCTCACTAGGTGACCCTTACAAGGTTCAGGATTTTTCACATTCTTGGCCCTCTCCAAGGGGCAATCTTGGCAATAAAAATGATGATGATTATGTGGTTCCTGATACATGGAAATGCAAGCCCCTAAAAACTCATCTTTTAACAAACCTTGTGAAGTATAGGCAAATTCTCCCCCTGTTTCACGGGAACAAGCACATGGGACCCGTGAAGAAAGACAATCACCATTACATTTAAAACAGCAATTTTCATCTGCAATTCGAGCTAATGTGAAAGGCACATATGCATCTTGATAAGAGGTATTTTCTGGTATGTACCCAAACTTTGGAAGGTCTATACCAATTTCATCTATCAATGATATTTTCAATCTCTCTGTGCCTCTTGTTATGTCATTGATCTTGTGGATTAACCTTTTATTAGTAGCATTATGATCACCTGACTCGTTGTTTTGATGTCTCTTTCTTTGTATTCCTGATGAAGATGATACTCTTTGAGCATCTAATCTTGCATCAACAGAGGAGCCTTCCATATTGGAATTATGTGCTTTCCGATTGGGATTGGAATTGGAATTGGACTTGGATTCCTTTACCTTGTTTCCATTCTCCCTTGCAGATGAAGCCTGATCTTCGGATTCCACCATTACAGCCTTACTCTTCTTCTGTTAATAACATTCAGATAGAAAAAAGTAGACTGAAGTAGGGAGTGAAGATAATAGAATAACAGAAGATATATATATATATATATATATATATATATATATATATATATATATATATATATATATATATATATTACCTTGTCATCAAAGGATTCAAATATGGCATCTGCAAGGGTTCGATAGTTATCTTCTTCAATTAGTTCCCAGCTTCCTCCATACAATTTAAGAAGATTCTTGAGGACTGGTTTAACAACTTCACGGGAAATGCCTAAGCACTCCATGGCACTAAAGGCCTTAGAAATTTTTGGATCATTTGGATTTGGAGCCCTTGGTTCGGATGCCTTTGAAGATCTTTGAGGAGATGCCATGTAAAAACTTCAGTTTCACAAGTAATTCTAATCAGTTTGTAAAATATGAAATTACGTCTGTGTTTCATAGGATGACATTCAGACTAACAGGCAAGAAAAATAACCAAAATAAGAATTATACACTCCATTCATATAAAAGAAGGAGCACCATTTTGCTTTGTGGGATGTAAATTTGTTCCATTTATGGAAAAAGGTATCTACATGTCACCAACTTTACTTCAATTTGAGTTTCCAGGGATGGGGCTCTGGACACCCATCTGGGCCCACATACAGTCTCCAGAGTCAACAATTACACTTTCATAAATATAGAAGAATAGCTGCCTTGAAACTTGTAAGGACATCTTTAGCCCATGAGATAATGCTAACCAATGACATTAGGTTTCAGCATGAATCAAATCCCCTCCGTCAGAATCAGGATCATCATAAAACAAAGCATTTAGCTAATGGATAGAATTCAAGTGTTACGATCATGCTAGTGGAAAAAGGGGGATCATCAGTATATTTCAGATCCATGTACAGGAAGAATAGATCGTTGATATGTATGTATACGCACATTAATTCTACCCTAGATGCTACATATCATATAACCGAGAACAGATTAGATTCATAATGATATAAAAGAACAGAAATGAATAGCATTTGGGAAGTGTAATCCGAAAATACACAACTCAATAAGACATTAACCTGGTAATAAATACTCTCGAAGCCAAGCTAAATATGCTTAATGAAGAGAGTTGTAAATGGAAATACCCTAATTATATGAACAAGAGAATACTAGCACGGTAGGTAATAAAGGAGACGCTTTTCAAACTTCTTGTGGGTTGAGTAATCAATGAATCACCAAATGACCTCCAGATTTTATAGAAATGCAACTCAAAATAGAGGGTTTGTGTAAAAAAAGGGTTTATGGCATACGTGCGAACAATCGAGGAAATTAGCTACGAGAGAGAGAGTAAGCAGGAAAGATCTTCTCCGATGCATATGCTTGGATTCCTATTTTCGTGGAGGAATGCATCGATCATGACGCAACCGGCTGCGCTCCGTTTCTGCTCTGCTCTCTCTCTATATCTGCATGATAGCTAGCAATGCATTGCGTTTAGAGGGGGCCAAATGGCGTATCCATTTTTTGTTATATTTGGACCCCTAACTTCATGCGATTTCGTTATAGACCTCCCACCTCTTTTCTTTTCTTTTTCCAATTCCATAGGAACTTATGGGCAAACTCAAATTTTGTGTTGAATAGTCACATTCACTCATACCAAATGGAATGCAATAATCTACAATATGATAACAAAATATACAGGTTTGAATAATTAATTTCAGTTATGATATAATTATGCAAATGATATAGGTTTTGTTATTGAATAACAAGTTTCAAACTATTTATTGTATTCCATATGATGTATATGATTATTTAAAATATTTTTGATTTACAATAATATCATCGGTTTGGATAGGGTTATAACTTGAAATTACTTTTTAATTTTATTTATGTCCCGATTTAAACCAGTAGTATTATAATTTGAAATTACTTTTTAATTTAATTGTATGTCTTAATTTAAACCCTCTTAATAATTACTAGATAAAATATGGATTTAGAATATCATACTACCGGTGAGCATTTGGACCGGTGAACCGGGCTGAACCGAACTGGACCGGACCGTTTTTTTGGACCCTCGGGCCGGTTCTCGGTTCTAAGATTTCTATCCGGTCCGGTCCGGTTTTTTTTCCGGTTCAGTCCGGTTTTTACCGGGTTTAGAATGTAATTTGTGATGCTTTTTAAACACCTATAACTCATTCGTTTTAAGTCGGATTGACCTCCAGTTTTTTCCAAAATTTAGTTTATAGTTTGTAGATGAATTTAGACTATAATTTGGTTTATTTTGGTATTATATTCACTGGGTTACAATCCTTCAAAGTAGAGCTATCAAAGCTAAAAAGATTCCGCTTTTGAGTGGAAGATTAGATTATGAGTTTATGAAATTTGTTAGTTTGATTGATTTTAAAGTTTAAACTATGATTTTTTTGTTACGGTAATACTTTTGTATGTTTGTCTTAAAATTGTATAACTTTTATTGGTGAACTTAATTTATATGTTAGTTTTTTTTATTTGGAAAATTAATTTTTGCAAGTTATAATATTATACATCAATGTAGATTAGTTATGCATGAAATGGAAACGTATTAATTTTGCAAGTTATAATATTATACATCAATGTAGATTACTTATACTCTATGCAATTAAAGTTATACCGGTCCAAACGGATCCAAAAACCGGAAAACCCGGACCTTGACCCGGACACGGACACGGACACGAACATGTCTCATCTGGCCCGGTTCATGGTCCACAAAATTCTCCATAACCGGTCCGGTCCAAGAGCCGGTCCGGTCCGATCCGGTCCAAATGCTCACATCTATATCATACATCACAAAAAATTGATCTTAAATATTAAAACTCTATATTTAAGATTAATTTTTATGCAATTGAAATAATAGATTTAAAATAAAATAAAAACAAATTTATGGATTTTAAATTTTATGAATTTTAGTTTATGGATTTGAAATATTATAAAATTAAGTTATGGATTTAAAATTTTATGAAATTAAGCTTATGGATTTGAAATTTTTATAAAATTAAGTTATGAATTTGAAATTGACAAAATTGCAAGATTGATCTCTATGGTATATCAAAACTAGCAAGTTTGGTAAAAAAAAAAAAGTTTGACTCGCAATGGTGGTCCAATAGTTTGATTTTGTTGCGAGTTTGGTCCAATTTGGTTTGAACTTTTTCGTATTGATGATTTTGTCCCTTGTTATTTTATTATCCATTTTTGTTTTATTATAACAATTAAAAAACTATTAAAAATAAAACAAAAATAAAATACCTTTTTTTTTCTCTCTCTCTCTCTCTCTCTCATGCTTAGAAAACCTGCAACAAGACCTAAACATGGATTTCGAAGATCTGGAGCGTCATCCCTTCTCATTGGACCTCCATTTTCACATATCAGAGACATCAAACTCTCCACCTTTATGCCCTAGCTTTTGTCGTCGGAGGAGACGATCTAGTAAACTCGTCGGAGGAGTCGATCTAGCATCGCCGTTGGAAGAGACGATCTATCACTCAATCTATCGACGAACAATCGGAAGGGGGGAGACCACCATTGCAGATCCAACTCCGATTAGGGTTATCATCGCCCCATCGTCTCCGCCATCACCAACCTCTAATGTAACATCCCAAAATTTAAGGGTAAAATTTCATTTTTGATTTAACTAAAATACTATTGTAACTTTGTTCACACATTGAAAAGCATTTTAAATAAAACATTTATCAGAGTTCATTCCCATAAATCACATATTGCAGAAAACATAGGTATATACGCTGTGATCGTCTCGAGCTCCTTTATTTGAAAACCGGAGGTCCCTGAAACCAAAATTGAAACTGTAAGCACGAAACTTAGTGAGTTCCCCAAATACCACATACCATACATATCAACTGATCCATACATGCCATACATAACCGTGAGCCATACATATATCATAATCAATAAAGGTGCTATGTGTAACACCAATCAAAATAGGTCAATAACAATCACATGTGATTATGCCAATCAAGTAATGTGATTTTGTTAAACTAGTAATGTGATAAACTTAGTATGTAGTTCATGATAAATTCTAACACAATTATGGATTATCATACATATTTTATGATACAACTCAAAGTATACGCCCATACGATTACTAAAATTTAGGGAACGTATAAATCTGACTTCGCGTGAACAAGTTATGATAAACTCCAACACTATAAATATCTATAACAATATGAATTTAAAATAGACTTATAATTAGCTATTGGAGTCTAAAAGAGAGTTGTAGTGCTCGTAAATACCTACGTGTGGATATAAAGAACATCAAATACGGAGTTCGTATGCAAAAGTTATGACCTTCCGAAGATACAACTATCTGAGAGTATGACGCGTGTCAGAAAACCCTAATCTGACTGAATTCACGACGTGAGCATCATTTCTCACGATGTGAGGAGTCAAATAGCCACTTTTCAAGCCTAGAAGACACATGGAAAGTCTACGTTTAAGGCTCACGACGTGAGGAGTCAAAGATACACTAATCGAGCCTAGAAAACACGTGGGAATACTATGGGATGACTCTTGTCATGGCTCACGACGTGAGAAGTAGGGGTGGCAACTCTCGATCCAACCCGTAACCCAACACTGACCCAACCCGAAAATAGACGGGTTTGGGTTAAGATTTTTGACCAGCTAACCCGTCAACCCGCCAACCCACCAGCCCGTTTATTTCATTGGTTGGGTTGGGTCATTTGTTTGACCCGCCAACCCGTATATATATATATATATATATATATATATATATATATATATATATATATACATTACATTTAAAAAAATGATATTTAATTATTAATGAAATTTGATTTTTTCCGTATCCGTAATATTTCGTATTACTGTATTTCTTCTGTATTTATATGTGACTAATCTGTATTTGCGGTTCATTATTCAGAAAAAGAAAAAATACATGTCGTTATTTTCACGAGTCACGAACGAAGAACACATCCACTTTCTATGAATGTTTTCATTTTTCATTTTTATTTGGATGTTATCGACTTTATGAATTTATGTTGAAAGCTTATTTTTATGTTAATTATTTTAATCATTTTATGAATTTATGTTGAAAAAATATTCATTCTTAAAATGTGTTGCTTATTTATTAAACGGGTTAGGTTGGGTTGAAGTCTCCAACCCACCAATCCGTGACCCACCAACCCGTCAACCCATATATTATATGGGTTGGGTTGAGTTTATATTTCTGACCCACCAACCCGAACCCAACCCAATTGTTAGTCCTAGTGAGAGGCCAAAAATCAGCCTATAAATAGTTATTTCGACTCTAACCTTCCGGACATCAAAATCTCTTCTCTCTCTCGTTTGTTGAAGCCATTTCGCATCCCGAGGTCGACGATCACGAACTGCTAACCATTTCTAGTTAGATTCTATAAAATCATGCTACTAAGGTGAGTTTCACGACCCCATTTTAAACTTTTTATCATTCTTCGGGGGGGGGGGGGGGGGGATACATGTTTTATATTATTTGTCTATATAACTCGTAAATTGTTTATATCGCTTATATAATTTAGTTACATAATTGTTATAACAATTTACCGTTTAAAACAGTCGTTTACATATATAAAATTTAGTAAACACTACCGTTACTATGCCCACATAATATAAAATTATATTATGCATTGTCGTTACTTTGCTCGTATAATATCTTTAATTATTATACGATGTCGTTACTCTGTGTGTTTAAGAATGTATCATTTTCATAAAATGTTGTTATGCTACACGTTTAATTTTTAAAAGATAATTAAACATTATAATTATATATATTAATATACTTACACAATGAAACATTTGTCTAATCACCTAAAATCTTAAAAGTTAAGACTACAACGGTTAAGGCTATGCAAGTAGTGGTTAAATGAGACATATTCATCATCTAAGTTTAATACTTTGTAACACTGTAAATTTCAAAACAAATTTTTCGATTTTCTTATAAAACATAATTCGATTAATATTCATCAAACAACCATATTAATTATCCAATATAGATTAATACAAAATCCCAAGATCACAATGTAAAAACTTCGAGTGTGTGTGTACGGATCAAGCCGGCGCCTTCCCGCGGTCGTCACTAGTACCTGAAACAATAACATCAAACACTGCAAGCACAAGGCTTATTGAGTTCCCCAAAATACCACATATAACACATATTAGCCACTCGAGGCTATAACTCTGTGGGTCCGTGCACCCAAACTCTGTGAACCCTCAGGTTCTAGCTCTGATAACCATGCAGTACATAAATCACATAGAAATAATGCAGTACAACACATAACATACATAGCATACAAATACTCTATCACATAACTCTGGTTACCTACTCAAGGTAATATAGTATAGTGAGAAGACTCACCTCGCGTATCTCGGTATCTCACGAATCCTGGAAATCCCTCGTGCTCGATCCTCCGAGCTCTAATCCTCCTATAACATTATATGTTTCTAATTAACACTTTATATCTCTAAGGTTGACTATCTATAAGAAGTCAACACAGGTCAACTCAGGTCAACGGTCAACGGTCAAC